AACCTAATAATTCATTTTATAATTGACCTATCGTAAGTACAGTAAGCCCCGTTAGTTACTATTGCTATCTCGGAGACACAAACAGAGTTGCTAACTTGCTAAACGGTGTCCCAAGATGTTTTTGATAAATTTTGGACACAGAAGGACCACCTCTCATCGAGGAGCATTCATGTGGTACTTAAATATACCATGGAGAGATAAAAAGATTTTAAGATAATTTGGAAGTGAGGGTTTACAGATCACAATGCAAGCGGGAAATGCCCTTATGTTACGGTTGTCACGATCGCAGGTGACAACATCCAGGATCAACACTGTTCATGTACCGCAGGGTAAGATTAAATTAATTTACATTTAACCAGTTTAATATGGAGAGGCACTGAATTGTACACCAGTCTGTACATGACGTGTGAGAACAGTTAGCTATTTAGGTTTGTACATTAGCATGAACTCACTAACTGAATGAGAGTATGAGAACCAGAAAATTAACATTTTCATTTTGTCTTCATTGGGATTGGGGTTGAATTCTTAAGGACTAGGTTACTGCGCCCACATCATTGGATTAATACACAGCCTAATCCAAAGCAGACATTTTGCTCTGTCTTGTTTGGGTTTAGGAATATAATGATATAATTTATTCAAAAAATGGAACAAAATAAATTCCATTGCCCATCCTCTCAGGATACCTAGAATCAGTGTTACAAGTACACCAGGCACATAGTTTGACCATTTTTGTTGCATAAACACCATCAAACCGATGAGAGCTTTGGATAGTCCAATGTTTCTCTATGGCGCTGAAACCTAAAGATGTCCGAGTTCCGGTCTCCATGCAATTGATACTTAACTGCAATTGGCTCATCTGCGTTCAATTGGATTGATGCCTTAATCAAACTGATCACCTCCTTCAATCCGAGCTCAATCCATCTGTAAGTCTACATAGGACCAGCAGTTTTATGTTTGGTGATCGGGGTATGCTTGTCCCAAGAACCACAGAGACATGGCTATCACAATCTCAACCATACCTACGGGCTATTTACTGTCTTTAATTCAACTATCCTGTCTTTGGATAATAAGAGAAACCAGAGCACCAGGAAACTCATGACAACACATGGAGAACATTCTCTACACAAAAAAAGCCTGGCTTACCTTGCCGCCCTAGATTGAGCTTGATCCGAAATTAATTCTGATCTGATTGAAATGGGTGGTGTAGATCTTAATCAGTTTAACAATAATAATGTAAGCAATGGGAACCCTTGGATCCAACAACTTTCTCAATCTGATTCAAAAATCTCACGTGCAGTGCCGTGAGTGATGTTTACCCTATGGTCAATTTTTATATTTTGATAAATTTAGAGGGCATTATATATATCACAATTAATTCAGATGGAGGAGAAGACTCATGTGAGCTGTGTCTTGTATTGACTGTCAATCCCAAAAGTCGCTGTTCATTTGTATAAAGTTAAACATTTGTCAACTTTGTCTCGTCACTGGACATGCCCACATCCTGTCATCAACGGTCACTGTCACTGGAAGTCGCCAGCTCTCCATTGAAAATGAATGGGATCCAATCGTTTTGTCACTGCGTGTCGCTGGTGGTGTGAGCGGGGCTTATGTTTAATGAATGTGCACTGGTCTAGGGTACATAGAGCTTTCAGAATCTGAAATCGGGTTGGATTTATTCGGATTGACAAAAAATGGTGTATATAAACATACCTGTTGTAAAACAAAATTTTGCAAAAATATATCACTGGGGCACTACCATCATAGGTGCACCTTTGTTCCTTATTTACCCTTAAAGGCAGCATCTATACCCGGTTTATACTTCTTAAGGTACTAATATGTACTCTTGAGGTATTAATATGCACCCTGTAGGGTTGTAGGAGTAAAAGGTACATACCTTTGAGGGTACTGCCCCACTGACCCATAAACATTATATTTTCTGATCTTCTATGTCATAGTCACTTGGAAGCATTGATTAAAATGGAGCAAGGACATAGAGGAACAATGCAAGATTTGTGAAAGTGCACTGTATCTTACGACTAAAACTTTCGCTGGATAATGCTCTGACATTGATATACACTGACTAATGACAATTTCAGATCCAATTATGGTTTCCAAAGTCCACTCTGCTGTATTTCCGCTAGATTTCTAATGGACCTGGCTCTTTCTACACCCTCAAAATCATGACAAAGAAACCAGACGTTTACTGTTCTTTATGAATATTGGTGATTTGTGGCTAATTGAGTGACTGTGACTGCTGTCGAAACAAAGTTGAACATAATTGCTAATGAGCGAGTGTAGAAAGTGTACAGTAGCAATCTGGTTTCATTTTGGGTTCTTTCATTTATGTATTCTACATTCTGCCTTTGCTTTTTAGACTAGACTCAACTTCTGAAACAGAGGCACCTCATCATGTCTGGTGTGTCAGCTGCATGTTCGCAGATGTGTAATAGAGATGGAGGACTGACTATCTGAACGACGGACTTGAGTAATGGGGTAAAGGAGCAGAGGAAATATGGAAGGATGTGCTCACTGACAGAAACTCAGGTCAGGCTGCCAGATGTGTAGTGTGTTGGACTGGAGGACATGTGATTGGTAGCAGATGTATCCACTCATTATCTCTCACCTTCTCAAGCCGCTATGAATAAAGTTGCATTATTTCAATAACCCGTTACAACAGGGCTGATAATTTTGGGAGAAAATGTCCTTTCTAGAATGTGCTAGTAATGATGCTAGTTTAAATTGGCAGAGATAGTTCTCTGTGTAAAGAGATTGCTGGCGATGTAAAGATCCGTGTGTGTGTGTGTCAATAAGTGAAGGTAAAACAATGGCCTGTGTACATTATGATCATTCACATTATACATAAGCACGCTGTGCTTAATTTGAGTCAGATCCTGGTCAGGAAAATGTCAGATTTTGGATTTTGCGTTCCGACAGTTGTATGTTAACAAAGGCAATGCATGGTGACAGCTTACAGTTTATTGTTTTGCGCGCTGTGAACTGCGGAAAGTTTGGAGAGTGTACCTGAGGAATTATTCCAATAAAAATAAGTTAATATGGCCAAAAGGTCAAAAAGGCAGTCAAGCACATTTTCATTTTTGATATCCATGATGAGCTGATGGTGTTTCTGATCAAAAGAGGTCCTGAATAGATGGAACTACACCCCTAGACAATTCTGCTAATAATAATCAGGATAGCCAGAGACACAAGTAATGGGTTAGATCAGTCAGAAATCAATGTAATGCAAGAGGCAACAACATTGTCGGTGAGAGAGAACATCACTGATCAACTGAGTGATATTTGGTCTCAAGGTAGCTATATAAATATGTGACAGATTAAAACACTAGGCTGTAGTTAGGGCCATGCAGAAACTTGTGAATGATGCTCTTATAGTTGTGCCATCACTGCAGTATATTTTATATATCAATTTAAGTGATTTATCCATTAATATATATATATATATATATATATATATATATATATATATATTAATATTGGTAAAAATATTAATAAATATTTACTAATATTAACATAATAATTGATGTCACTAGCTAATATTTCACTAAATTCAGTATTAATGTGGCCACCCATATATTGTTCATACCTGATTTACACGGTACCGTTCAAGAGTTTTTTTTTTTGTTTTGTTTTTAAAGACATCTCATGATGTCACCATTATGTTCAGTTTGTTTTGTTCTTGGACTTTTAATTTGTAATCCTTCAGTTCCTGGTTTCCCTTTGTTTAGATTCCCGCCACTCGTTAGTTTTCACACCCTGTGTCTTCGTCTGCCTGCCTGCGTACACCTGGGACAGATGACCGGACCACAAAATTTGGACTGGAACGCCCAGTTCATCCAGGTGGCTCACGAGAGCACCGATTTCCTCTCCTTCGCTGCAGGTTATTGTCGTCTTGCCATCACCAGCCCCCTCGTTAGGTGTCTGAAGAGTGTCTGGTCCCGATTCAAAGCACACCCAGACCCAGAGCCAGGTTTACCACCTTCGACCGTGAAGAATTTGCAAGAGCCCCTTGCAGACGTTGAGGGACCACCCGCTGCGACGAGTGAGCCAGAGCCCGAGAACAAGAGAACAGCACTCACCATCGTCCCGGAAGTGCAACCTCTAGCAAGTCTGACCAAGGGTGTGAGCCCGTGACACCAGCGGCCGAGGGAACGGGAACCGAGGACTGGCTGATGGACGTCAGTGAGGAAGAATCGATTCCCACCCAAGCCCACCCAACATCTAATTCCTCCTGCCTCGGATAACTTCACTCCATCTCGACCCGTCGACCTGATTGCTCCGCCTTGGCTCCTCCCACCTTCTGCTCCACCAGAGACCCTCGGCCTTGCAGCTCCACCAGGTTCCCTCGTCCCACCGGTTCCCCCTTGGTCAGTCGTTGCTCTACTTCCGTCCGCTGCGCTCCATCCCTCCTCCCCTACGGCTGCAGCGGGTTCCTTCTTCCCTTCGGGATTGCCTTTGCCCTCAGTCACACCAGCATCGCCCCAGTCCATGGGTACTCTGGCTCCACGCCAACGCTCGTCACCGCGGAATCGCCTGGGTCTCCAGCACCAGCGATGCTGCTCAGCTCAGATGGCCAATTCCCACCACTCGTTAGTTTCTATGGTTACTGTCATTAGTTAGTTTGGTTAGCCGTGTACACTTATGCTCACCAAGGCTGCATTTATTTGATCTAAAATAATTGTTTTAATATATTTTACAATTTTAATTATTGCTGATGACAAAGCTGAATTTTCAGCAACCATTATTCCAGTCTTCAGTGTCACATGATCCTTCAGAAATAATTTTAATATGTTGGTTTGGTGCGCAAGAAACATTTATTATTATCAATGTTGAAATCAGTTGTGCTGCTTCATATTTCTGTGAAACTTTGATAATTTTTTTAGGGATTCTTTGATAAATAGAAGCACTCAAACAGTACCGTTCATAATTCAACTTTTTCTAGTTAATCCTATGTCTATAAGCCTCTTTTTATCTGTCTCACACAGGTGTTCCATTGATTGATGGGGGTACTGTGAGATTGCCACAGCTGATTGGTCTTTCTCGAGCTCTAGATCTCATTCTCACAGGCCGACCGGTGAAGGCGCAAGAGGCTTTAACATTTGGACTGGCAAACAGAGTGGTGCCCGATGGCCAAGGTACACATACAGTACGCCCTGAAACTTGCTTTAGCATGATGAGGTGTATCCGGTCCTGCTCGACCCCCTCTGAGTGTGATTCGAACCAGGATCTTCGGCATGGGAGGTTTCTATGTGTGGTTTAATATGTGAAAGTGCAAACGAGATGGCCAAATGAACGAACATGGTGTTTTTTTTGTTTCCAGACTGTGTCACGAATCAGCTTTGTAGATTGATATTATTCAAACATTTTGCATTCAGGACCTTCTGCTTAAAGATTGGGATACATCATGCCAGCATTATGTGAAAATTAAAGAGATGTAGTCTGTCCAGCAGGTTGAAACCTGAAGGTAGAGCCAGAGCTGCCGTTGGTAATACTTTATTTCAATGGTCCACCTAAAACTTACCTTACAGTCTACCAATACTTTAATGAGTGTTAGTTGACATGTAGTTGCAAAGTTACTTTTAGATAACAGAATTTCCAAAGTGTACCTTAACACATAAAGTGTAACCCTGTCATTTAGCCAGTAGTAGATGACTGTTTTTTGATTATCAATGGCCCTAAGCACTTGTTAAAGATTTCAGTTGCAGTCCTAGTGGGTTCTTTTAGTAATCAACAGAAGAAAGAAAGAAAGCCATATGTTTATAACAACGTGATTCTTTTAGACTATATGGGCCCTATTTTAACGATCTGAAACGCAAGTGTCAAAGCGTAAAGCGCAAGTAACTTTGTGGGCGGATCCCGGCGCTGTTGCTATTTTCCCGGCGGGATAAATGCCTCTTGCGCCTGGCGCAAATCTAAAAGGGGTTGGTCTGAAGTAGCTTCATTATTCATAGGTGTGGTTTGGGCGTAACGTGAAATAAACCAATCAGAGCGTCATCTCACATTCCCTTTAACAGCAGGTGCGCATGTTCTAAAGCGGATTCCTATTATAACGGCGGATTTGCCAGGCGCGCGCCAGGAGCGGTTCACAGCCGAGGAGAGCAACGTTCTCGTCAGGGCCGTAAAACACAGAGAAGTGACATTGGGGATGGAGAAACCCACCCAAATTAACTTCTGTTAAACAGGCGTATGGTAATTTGGGTAAATGTGTAAGCTACATGCTTTTATAATAAATTGTCTATCTATCTATCTATCTATCTATCTATCTATCTATCTATCTATCTATCTATCTATCTATCTATCTATCTATCTATCTATCTATCTATCTATCTATCTATCTATCTATCTATCTATCTATCTATCTATCTATCTATCTATCTATCTATCTATCTATCGTAATAATGTATGATTTGCAAAAATGAAAACTGCTGCTTAGATGAGAGAATCGTTTGCGCGTTGTGCACAAGCTACATTGATTATGGCCAAGCATGCGCCCTTAAAATAGCATAATGAACAACGCGCAACGCGCCACTGACTTTAGACTAGTTTTTTTCTGGTCAGTGGCGCAATTGTTTTATAGAACAGCAAAATAGCATGAGGGAAAGTTTGCGCCGGAACACGCCTCCTCTTTGCGCTGAACCGCCCCGGGGAGCGCAAGTGTATTTCTTAGTTAACCGACGTGCGTCTGTGGAGGGAAAAGTCCGCTTTGCGCAGGTGCAAAATAGGAATGATACATGCGTCAGTGTACAAAGTCATTTGCGCCGAGTGCAAGATAGGGCCCTATATGTTTTTCCACAGCATGCCAGTGCATCTTTTGATGCTGTACTGAATAAGTGTTGTTATCTGACCACTATGTGGGTGTTTGCATCTTTCATTCATCCACAGTAGAGTTCCCTTGAGAATGTTAGCAGATAAAACTAATGTAATGTGACCGCAATTCACACAGTCACAGTCAGGTTAGATGAGATGAGCTCAAAGCTGTTTAGAGATACCGTCAAAGTAAACACTTCAGTTTCAAAGTGAGAGTCACTCGAGTGGACTTTCCATAAGAGATCTGGACAGAGGCCAGAGCTTTAATGTGCCACACTGAAAGGACAACATGAGTCCATATCAGAAGGAAATGAGGGATGATATGGAGGTCACTCAAGGTCACACATTGATTTCATCATGAGACGGAAGTTGTGATAGTATTTTCTTCCCTATTGTGACGTATATCCGAGTGAAGCGGCTTTTTGAACAAGAAAAAAAATTCTTGGTGGCTTTAAGGTCAGCTAAAAATAAAAGCAAAACTTTTGGTCGGAGGTGTCACATCTATTGCTGACATTTTGACCTCTTCTGTCTGTTACACTCACCAATTAGGAATGGACCCATTTTGGCAGGATGTTCACATCTAACAATCAGTCTTGTGTGCGTTTGTTTTAGCTCTTCAAGTGGCTCTTGAACTTGCTGAACAGGTCAGCGCATTTCCGCAGCTCTGTCTCCGTGCCGACCGTAACTCCGCCTACCACGCTGTCTTTGACTCCTCCTCCTTCACCCAAGCCATGCAATATGAGTATGACCAAGGTCTGCCAGTCATTACAGCTGAAGCAGTCACTGGGGCAACAAAATTCAGCTCAGGCGCTGGGAGAGGAGGGACTTTCTCTAAGAGTAAACTGTAAATGGACAGCTGATCGGAAATGAGTCAGTGTGTGTAACTAAATAATACAGATATTACTGTTAATTTTACAGCGAATCACATGTTAGAGTCTATGATAAACAGTTTATTTGGTCCAGTCCAGGTCTGGGTTAAGATAAAGCCTGCTATTAATAATGGTTTGTTGTCCATAACTTAACTGTGACAACTGAACCTTTGTCAAATATTTGTAAGTTTCTACAATTTGTAAATCATAAGAATGTGCATTTGTAAATTTACCTCAGATCAAGTTCCTCTCAATGTATTTGTTATTGCTAATCAAATGTATGAAAGATAATACTGAAGAAAATTTGTGTGAAAGTTGTGTGCTTTCCTGTGCAAAATTCACTATGTGTTTACTAGCTAAAAATCAAAAGAGCCCACCCACAAGATCTATAATATTCTGCCAGATCAACATCGTAAATGAGTTTGCTTAGACATGTAACAGTTCACCTTCTCTGCTGCTCAAGCTGCACAATGTGATGCATTATTTCTGGAGCACAAACAGGACAAGATATCTCCAAAAGTTAAATACTTAGGGTTAGGAGTTTGTTCAAATTATAACCCAAGTATGAGTAGTAGTAATCAAATCCAAAGCATTGAATTGCTAACTGTTTATAATAAGATTCAATTTGTTAACATTAATGTTATTACTTTAGGTATCATGAACAAGCAATGAATGTTTTACAACAGTTATAAATCTAGATTAATGAATTTATGCATATACTAATGCATTTTTGACATTTCAAGTTGTATAAATTAATATTAGTTATTATATAACATTTATTTAACATTAGTTACATTGGTGATTAGAACATATTGATAATGAACAATAGAAGATTAATGCAGCAACATTAACCTAGATCAGTGGTTCTCAAACTTTGTGACTCAAAGGCCCCCTATTGTTGTATTAAATGAATAAACCACAATTCCATATGTTTCAAGAACTACGTTCTTCAATAAAAAAATAGTTATTGATTTTTAGTTATTAGTTACTGATAGTTTGTGTTTTGTTTTTTTTTAATTTTAGAGTTAGATTATTTCATTATATTTATATATATATATACACTTGGAATTTTTCTAGGGCCCCTTGTTCAGAACCACTAATTAATGAATTCTGTAACAAACTGTTTGTGTTGTTGTTTCACTTGTACATTTTTCAAACTATCTAAAGCTTTGGTTTTAATGACTGTCTGTATGTAAGGGCACAATGTTGATCATCTTTAGGGCTCAAATCAGCAAACTTGATTACCAGCCCTCAAAAATGTGTTCTTCGTTAAAACTTTTACATTTACTGTGGGCAAACAAACAAAATGACACAGAAAAGAGTATATATATATATATATATATATATATATATATATATATATATATATATATATATATATATATATAGTGTATATATGTGTGTGTGTCTTTAAAGTGAGCCTTTGTCTAGACAGTATGATGACAGGAGAGTTAGTGTTAACTGACCCCACACAGAATCACGCACAGGTCATTCATCATGCTTCTGACAGCCGATTAGCGACTGACCCTTGAAGAATGGATGAGTTCTAACATGAATGCTGCACTTTTGCATTCCTTAATGTCTTTGACTCTCATCATTTCTGTGATCGGATTCCCTGAAATAAATGTACCATTTGTTAATCATGTCAAGTCACTTACAGCCATTTATGTTAAAGTTATCATTACCATGAACAGAATAGGTGCAGTGACATGCTGTGGACACACATTGTCTAATGGCTGTGTGCGAGTGTGTGTTTAACACTTTCAGCTACTGATAGAAATACATTTGCACAGGAATGCTCAGCTTTTATCTCTCTTATCTTGTCAGTCTCTGTTTTCTCTCACAGCTTAAAATTCTTTCTTTCTTAAAGGAATATTTCACCCATGAATGAAAATTCTATTATTATGTAGCGTGTTGCTCCAAAACTCTACAAAAAGCAAAAATGTGAGGCACTTACAATGGAAGTGAAGGGGGCCAATTTATGGAGGATTTTATAAAAGCACCAAGACAAACTCTTCTTTTAAAACTTCTTTTTGCTTCAAAGTTGTTTAATTCTCATCGTTCAGAGTTATTTTAGGGTTTTAGACATTATTTTAAAATGTAATGTAAACCAAATGGATTACAAAAAAACATACTAAACAGTTTTTTTTCCTTTTTTGGGGGGGAAATTCAAAAAATGGCAAAAGTTTTCTGTGATGGTTAGGGTTAGGAGATAAAATATTTTATTAGATCAGTATAAAAACCATTACGCCTACCCGTAAACCACAAGTGTGTGTAGGCTATGTATATGTGTGGTCCTGGTAAACCCTACGCTATGGGGACAAAATATCCCCACAATAATGGCAATATCCGAAATTCTTATCCTCTTGGGGACATTTTTGGTCCCCATAAGGAAAACAGATTATAAATCATACTAAGTGATGTTTTTTTAAAATGTAAAAAGTGTTCTGTTATGGGTAGGTTAGCTATATAATATACAGTTTGTACAGTATACAAATCATTATGTCTATGGAATGTCCCCTTAAAACATGGTGTGTGTGTGTGTGTGTTATATGATTTATGATGACACAAATGTGTAATGACATGGGTATTACAACATGGTTATGAGGACACTTCCTGCCTCGTAAATCAAATGGCTTAAAAATCATACTAAATTATGTTTTGTTTTGTTTTTTATATAAAAAAAACCCCAAAGGTTTTCTGTGATTGGTAGGTTTAGGGGTACGGTTAGTGTAGTAGGGGATAGAATGTACAGTTTGTACAGTATAAAAACCCATAAAGTGTGTGTGTGTGTGTTTGAGTGATGAACTATCAGTGATTGGACTGATGAAGGGAAGGGAAGGGGGTGGCTGGGATTGGTTTGCATCTCTGGTCTTTGATGCATGCTTTTCGGCCCCGTTAGATAAGATTAGACACTTAGAGATAACAACACTCAACCCTCTTATCGATCTGAATCTCACCAGACACAACATAGTGTGTGAATGTGTGTGTGTTTTCTGAAATCTGTCTTCATATCATAAACATGTAAGCTCTCTCTCTTATTGTAGTAAGTTCAGTGAGTGTCTCATCTTTAAAGCGCTGCACCTGACCCGGACCACAATCTCTAGTTTGCTGTCTATCTGTCTGATGTCTGTAATCTTAGACATCAGATAACTCCTTTAAAAATACCCGAGAAAGACAAGTGATCAAGATTTCACACAAGATAAAACAACAGTCGATTCAGCGCCTTGTCAATTATCCGTTTTTTTTTTTATATTATTATTCAGAAAAGCTATACTGTATACCTTTACAAAATATGTAGGCTACACGTGGTGGTATCACGTACAGTTGTAATATCACTATATCAGATAGAAATACAATTGACTGATTACCATATGATATAACATAGTTCTTAAAGGAATAGGTCACCCAAAAATGGAAATTATGTCATAGTATTTTTTTCCTACTATGGAAGTCAATGGCTACTGTCAGCTGTCTGGTTACCAACATTCTTTAAAATATCATCTTTTGTGTTCAACAGAAGAAAGAAACTACTTGTTTGGAACTACATGGGTGAGTAATGACACAATTTGCATTATGGGTGAACTATCCTTTTGAGGCAATTTAAAGAATATTATATTAAGTCCAAAAACAATCTTGGTTACATGTAGGCATCAAAGAACATGATATTACCATGGTGCCATGTCCAAAAACATGGTAACCCCACGGTACTGCACTGTTTGGTGCTATTGTTTTCGTCAGTAACTTGCTGTAATTTTCTGTGTCGTTAGGGGTCACGCTTCGGCCATAAAATGGCTCGATTTTGCGCAAGTTATAAGATTTTGTAATAACATTTATAGAAAGAACTATAACTGTAATATACATATATAAAAATTACTTGGATACATTAAGCCTCATTTGATTTATGGCATCCTCTCACATATATAACAAGCGAACATCGGTCAAATGATTGGGTCAGCATCAGCACTTGTCTACGCAAAGCGCGACGCAACATAACTAGAACGCTTCTAGGACTAGAACGTTATCCAATACTTGGTCAAACTGTAACATTATAACCAATGCAGGACAATACGGACAGTTACTCATAGGATGCGATGTACACATGCGTGATGCGCACTGCGTATCTCGCTGGTTTTAGATGTCACTATTTTAAGACGGCGACAAACTAAAATACTTACTTGAACTTTTTTCCGAGAGTTGTGCTTTCGGTTCCATTATGCGCGACAAAACTAAAACACGAACACGAAACGCAACTGCTGCTCTTATAATGAACGGAGTTTTCTACATGTGGATCTTGCACTGTTGGAGCGACGGCCGCGTCGCGTCGCTCGTATGCAGACTATAGACACCTGACATGAGAGCTGATATTGTCATTTATATGTAAAAGAAGACACGTAGACGTGTACGTAAAGACGAGTTTGAGGATTTTAAAACTGTCTTGTAAAGCTCCACCTCTGGACGGGCGCACTGGGGCGGGCTCGAGACGCGTCTACCTGCTTCAGCCCCGTTATTTAAAAGCTTCTGAGACTGACGCGCTGTCCACTCTACAAACATATGCTACTCTGTGGGGATTAGCCTATGGTTAAATCAAATAACTTAACGGAAAAGATATAGTAATATATAATAAGAAAATACTGTCTTGGAAGTGACGGATAACGTTTTCTTTATTCCTCGGTTTGAATTATAACGTTGACATACAGAAGTTTCCAGCGGTCTTCTGTACGGAACGAAGTATCACGCCGAAGAATTGATGGAGATTTTGCGAATTGAAAAATTCCCTGGACAACTGCATTTGCTTTGCACATGATAATACAGTTTTACAGAGACAGGTTACAGTTACGACCTGGTTTACAGCCTGATCATTTGAAAACCTATAGTCAATAACTTTTTTTATTCTGTAGTTAAAACCATCCATGTACTGGTGTTTTAAAGTACCCAGCACACTGATCTGAAGATCCTATAATGTAACATAAAGAAACTTTTTATCTCAAGGGGATCATACAGGCAAAATGGTTCTCAAGAAAAAGGTTCTTTTCTGAACAGTTGAAGAACCTAAGGTCATATGGCGTGAAGCAGAGGAGAAGAGGACAGAACATTGTTTTCCAAGTGATTTTATATTTAGGAGTGATTACACCCTTATCATCATCATCATCATCATCATCATCATCACAGACTGGATGTAAAGATGACAAGCGTCTGGTTTGCTCTGCTGGGCTTCTTGTGGAGCTCATATTTGGCAGGTAGTTCTGTACTGGACGGCTCTGAGCTTCAGCCCAACTTTATACATCGGAGGTTACGGAATCAGGAGAAGAGAGAGATGCAGAAAGAGATTCTGTCCATACTGGGACTGAACCACAGACCTAGACCTCATCTGAACAGCGGCAAATATAATTCAGCACCCCTCTTCATGCTGGATCTGTACAACACCATGTCCACTGAAGAGAAGAGCGACGTGGATCAGTACAGATCACTGTTTACCACCACACGACCCGCTTTAGCTTCACTTCACGACACCGAGTTCCTGCACGACGCGGACATGGTCATGAGTTTTGTAAATTTGGGTAAGATTAACTTTTACATTTCCTATTTCACGCTTGTAGCCTATCTATTTTGTTAGAGATGATGCGCAAGGATACGGGTCACACTACACAAAGCCAATCCGATTCTGTGCGTCAATGACATATTTACAGATTAATTTCCTCCACAAAGTAATAAAAAAATGTATTTAAATAATAATGTTACCATCTAATTGACTTAAAGGTGTTTCAGTTCTTTCATGTAATATTTTAAGATAGCACAAGCACCTCTCAGGCAAACATTTCGAAAAGAGGTTTGTAGGTTTCAAATGATAGGGTGAATATTGATTAATGAGCTACACTTATGGTTATTCTGCTTGACACCAGTGTGAACTTGAGGACTACTGACTTTATAAATCCACTTAAAATTGTCGTTCATAATGGCTCAGAAGTGTATTTTGTAAGTGTAGCCTATAAGTGTAATGACATTCAGATTTCAGGCATGTGTGGGACTAAGTGAACATATATATTTGTCTTTATGTTAAGCAGGACATACTTTTTTAACATTTAAAGGCGGACAAACTTATTTTTGTGAAACATTTTGCTTGAACGTTCTTCTGCTGTTGTATTTGATATGTTGTTACCTAATGCAATGACATTTACACACTGTTTAATGTGAAATATGCACTTTTTGTGGCCACTGCATGCATATGTAAATATTTTGCTTGCAAATACATTATATAAAATAAATCGTATATCCAAAAATGATAGAATTCCCCCTATTAGCGTACTTAACAAATGTCTGTCTGTTTTCTGATAGACTGTATTGCCTTCAAATCAAAACCTTCAAAAACTCTAAGATTTAAAACTGCTTCAAACTGAAAACCTTCAAATTTTCTAATCAGGCTTTCTCAAGTTTCAAAGTTTGTCTTGACAAAGTTGTTTTATCTAGTTTATATTATTATTTCGCCTGGAGTGAACATTTAGATTTTGTTCAGGTTTAGGCAGTTGAATTTTTTATCTATTATAACACGGAACATTAATTTTGCACTTTGCTCATATACCACGGTAAGTGAAGTACCTTGGAGTATCATCATATGTTCATCTGTACCAGATGAATCATGTTGCAGCCTAAGGTTTTTGATGGATATCGCCCTTCAACACTTTTTAACTGACATCTATCAAGCTCATAGTGACCCTGAGCACAGTGTCAGACCACAAGTCTGTTTATGCTCAGGGATTCTGTGTGGTTTGCTTCAGTAAACACAGACCTCATTAATGGAGGGAGTATTCGCATCCAAGATTCACTTGTTTATGTGAACTTCCCTCAACAGGGGCCAGGAGTTGCCCAATTAAGTTAATTATAACAATAAAAAACTCTTCTGGCTCTACTCACTGGAGCTATTGGCCAATTGTTGAGTCAGTTGCCAGAGAGGCTTTTGTGCGAGTTGCGCCATTCTAGTTGTTGGTTTGGTTCATTTCAGAGGTCATTTCTTTCTGTTTTACAAGACAATAAATGTTTTTCTTTCTTGATCTGGTAGCGGTATTCTTCAGTCAGTTGAACAATTGATGGACACATGTCATTGACTGACATTTTGGCCACATTTTCAGAAATAAGCAGAATACCACATCATCTAACCACAGTGTGTTACTGGGTACTGGCTACTGTTACTGTAATAGGACAGGCTTGAGGTGGCTTTTCATATTTGCAGTGTGTCAGTGACTCGGTTAGTTATTGGATATTTTGCATTAGTATTTTAATATGGTTTTGTTCTGGACTCTTGCAACGTAATTCATATTTGTTTTGGATGACTTGCAACTCATGTGTTATTCTTTCATTTACGGCAGTCATCTGTCTAGAACACCTATGACTAGTCTCCAAATATAGCTGAAAAAGGAAGCATTGGTATATATTGGGATACAGAAACTGACCAGTACTGCAACTCATCCAGAAATAGCCAGTCTTGTCAAAAACATTTGGATAGTCAATGTGAGTCATCTGACTGTAGAAACAGTAGTACAAATTTCCTTTTTATGGTGTGGCTTTATGAGTAGTCAGGACTTCTGCCTCAAAGAGAAACTGTATGTTGTATACCATTATTACATAAATATTCAACCCAAAAAATATTACTGTCATTCTGACCCAAATATGTCAGTTCTATCACAATTTACTCACCTTCATTCACTCACATCATTCTAAACCAAAATGACTGTTTTCTGTGGAGCTCAATGTTTGGCAGGATGTTTACACTCTTTTTTATATACACTGAAAGCATACTATGACCATTCCCAAATATTTGAAAAAAAAAAAAAAGTATAATAAACGTAGTCCATACGACTCATGCGCTATATTGCTTTATGGTGGTTTTCTGATGCTTTACAATAACTTTGTGTAAGAGACAGACCGAATATGAAATCGTCATTCACTTTAAAGCTATCCCTCCAATGTAGCACTTAAATCTCAGACAAAACTCTAAAAACTTGATTTATTATAATAAATGCAAGTATGCGGTTTGAGAGCAGATGTTCACTGAAGTCAAACTTTGAGTTTGACAGTATTGCGTTTGAGTGATCGTCGTGACAGATTCAGGAGCATCCAATGTTCTTGATGTCAATCCCAATTTTTCCAGACCAGTCTTGCTGTGTTTACAGAAGGGTAGAGGATACCCTAAGCTTTTCTTGGCAGAGAGAATTTTGAGGAAACTCCCATCTCTTGTTTGCACTGGTAATATTGTGTGTTTGTCTTTTTTTTTTCTGGATAAGAGGGATCTTCCAGTAATCCAGGGAAAATCCATGGGGGAAAAAAGCATTTCTGTTTTCTCTCCTTTGGTCCATCATTGCTTTTTTCCACCTGGATCTTTTGTGTTGACCTACATTTCCTCCTATAACTCTCTCATACAAACACATAAGCATTTCAAACTCATTTTTTTCCACGGCACACGTTTTAACTATAGAGACAAGCTGTCATTTCCCCACTTAGCAAAGTCAACAGCCACCCAGGAGAGCACAGGAGAGCTTTGCTTTAGGCCTGTAAAGTAATAAAAGTGACCCACACATAGAGTTTTAGGGGGTTTCTTGAAGCTTAACAAGGTCTAGAGAGACAATCCTTGCTTCTTATAACTGTATGAATCCTGTATTTCACAATGCACTTTCATTTCACTCTTCCGCTCTTAATAACGTCAGTGTGCTGAGCTCCAAATCTGGGCTGAGCTGTTTGTTTTGCACCACAATGTTTCTAAACCCACATTTTATCACATAATTAGTTTGCCGGAATCAATCAATGAATTGTTTAATCTTGGCAGGTTATGCACTACATAGATGACCCCTTCTGAAAGACCGCCTGTGGCTCACGGACACAGGAGGGCTGTATCACTTCTAGTCTGCATGCGGGCGTTAACATGGAAATTAAGTAAGGAATTTGAGTTATGCTTTAGCTCCGTAAAGAAGGAAAAGGATTTTCTCATGGGTGACTCAGCAGACTGATAAGAACTGTTGAAAACACACATCAAATGAAACTACTGGCCAGACACAAATCTGCACACTTTTTTGCACTGACTTTGAAGGAAAATTGGCAAGTCTGTGGGATGGATTTAGTGTGGCAACATGTTAAATGGAAGTGCATTTACTTTGTAATTTAAATAGAACTGCATTTAATGTGTTAAATGCAACTGCACTTTCTTTAGCAAATTGACGTGTAGTAATTTATCTAAAACTTTCATCCAAAGTGACTCAAATATGGTAGCTGAGAACATTATCAAATTACCAAGTCATGTAGAAAGTTCAAAACTCTGCCTGCGTTTAACTCCACTTTTAGACATACACTCGTGAACTTCCCTAAGCACTTGCCCCCGGGGGAATCCCCACCGCCATTTTGAAGTGCATTCAACTTCGTCAAGTGGGCGAAGGAAGTTTATTTGAGCAGACCCTCGACCCCTCGATTTAGACAGAGGGAGCGAATCTACTCAACATGTAGACTTCAGCCAGATCCATAGACCACAATGCAACACGGTTCTGACGCCACAACAGATCGCGCTTAATTTAGCCCCACCCCACACAACTCTGGTGTATGATATTGGAGTTTATTTTGACATTTAACCCTATAATACTTGTAGCTACCTTAAGCTGACTGTTTCTTACACAGTTATAAGTTATCGTAGCACATTTTTGTTTTTGTGATTTTTTTTTTTATTGAATTTTTTTCGGAGGGTTAGCGAGGGAAGGGCATAAAATAATGGACTAAAACGCAGCTTCTTCAGCAATAAAAAAAGAAACACAAATGTGAAGTTTAACTAAAGTCATATTTGCTTATTCGTTTGGTTCAATCGGATCATCAAAGATCAGCAGCAAAGACAATGGGTAATAAAGTGACATTAACTACACAAAGTATTTAATATACCAACGGGCCTGCTGCAACGCATTCTCATCCCAAAGCGTAATATATTGACTCTTTTGACAAAGCGTCTATATCCAACGCACATGGCACCCTTTAGCGTCACTATAACACGCTTCGGTTTTGGGTAGGTTTAGGTCTGGGGTAGTGTTAGGGTTAGACCACTAGGAGGCGCTATATATCTGCGTCTCATATGACGCTAAAGGGTGCCATGTGCGTTGGATATAGACGCTTTGTCAAAAGAGTCAATATATTACGCTTTGGGATGAGAACGGGCTGAATATACATATATTTGAATTCTGTAACATTTAATTATTGCAGGTTTGGGTAATATTCTGAGTTTGCATTATACTGTTTTACATGTATACTGTTTTTATAGTTTGAGAAATTTGAATTGGTTTTCACATTTAGATAATATTGGTACTATAAAGTGCTTCTGTCCACGTTTTCTGCTGCGCATCGTTTATTCACACCAGTTATGTGCACCTCTGACTATAGGGCAACATTATTAACACAATGGTTTGTTAAAAAAAAAAAGAAAAAAAAAAGAAAAAAGGACAAACTCCGTAATACAACTCGTATCAATATCAGACTGTTTTTCAGAGATAGCGACAGCTCCTAGACAAAAGGTTTAAAATGTACCCAAAGATGGCCC